ATCCATCCATCCATCCATCCATCCATCCATCCATCCATCCATCCATCATATGTCAGCTGCAGAGGGATAGAGCCAGCCAGCCACAGGCTGTCTGAACTGAACTGAACTGTAATTACATGCTGGCATAAGCGATTCAGTATGTTAAGCATCTGAGACAAAGATCGAGGGCAAGACTGCATGTATGGCTGCTTATTTTAAGATATAAATTTTACAAAAATAGAGTAGGAGGGAGGGAGAGCTAAATTATGAAGGGAACAGAACATTCATCCATAATGGATATAAAAGCATGGGATTTGCAACACAATCCCCAAGTTACTATTACAATCAGTTTTTCATATGTATACATGCTTCCATGTGTGGGTGAACTGTGTGCAGGTCAGCCTTGGAGTTTCATTCCTCCTTCTACCCTGTTATTAGAGATGCTTTCTCTCATTGGGAACAGAGGCTTGTCAAGTAGGTTAGGTCAGTAAACTGCAGGATCCATCTATTTCTGCATCCCCAGTTCTGGGATTATAAGCATGCACTACTATATTCGTCTTTTTAAGTTTGATTCTCAGATCAAACTCAGGCCCTCAAGCTTGCTCAGAAAGCCCCTTTACTGACTGCGCTCTTGGTGGCTCTTTTAGCTACCCTAAAAGCCATTTTTAAAAAAGTGCCCTGCTCAAAAATAATTCTCCTTTCTATGGGCCTTATAGATAGCAGCAGCTCTCAGAGCTTGGCATGCCCTACATGAACCCCTACCCAGGCCATATTGTTTAGGGGTAGGCACTCAACCATGCAGAGTAAACATATTTCTCACTCTTGGTAATTTGCATGGAAACAGAGCCTGGGAGACCACACAGGTGATTTGTATTGTTGTGGCTCTGCAGGCTTTTGAACTTCTGCTGTAGTGATGCCCAGAGCTTCTTAGCTTAACTTTGGTCTCAATGCATTGGTTTTCCAATTCTACTTTGATTCCATAATAGATACTCACCCTTTGATTTATTTTTACTTTAATTACATTCTTGAATTGGTTTCTGTTACTTGCAACCAAACAACAGTAATGGATACATCACAAGACCTACAACAGACCCAAAGAGCAACATACCTTATAAATAGGCTCTGTCTATTCCTATTTCCTTCTATAGACAGTATCTTGTTCTACAGTGCTTTCTGCAAATTTCCTTTCATCTCATTGAATCACAAACTGCTACAAGGATAGTTTGGTCCCCAGACAAGTCTATTTCAGACTTGATTAAGAAGGTTTCAATTTTGATGTCCTAGAAGGACATCATTAGGAAGCTGTCTCACCAGTAAAGTCATTGCAGGGTCTAGATGCTGAGCACTTCTATTGAGTGGGATGATACCTATGTTCTGGGCCCTGCTGCAGTGTGCTTTGTTGATACATCCTACCTTGGCTGGTGCATGCTGACTCGGGGTGAATAGTCTGCTGTTATTACTTGTCTACAAGGTGACTCATGCAATGACTAAAGAATTTTCTAGAAGTAGAGGTATTATAGTGACACAGCTGGGCTAGAGAGAAGGGACTTGAGTTCTAGAAATGGCCCTGACAAACTTGAAACATTTCATACATCTCCCTTCTACTGCTGAATACAGACTGTTAGACTTGATATTTTTATATTGTAGTCTGTTGACCATAGCTGCACTCTTAATATGAGGAAAGGAGCTGACCCTTGATAACATTGTCAATTAGTTGAAGGATGTAAAAGCAAAAGCTAAGCTTTTCTAGAAAAGGAGGCTGCTGCCTTGGGGGTGTAACATGTCTTCCTGTGGCTCCAATTGCAGGCCTGCTCTCACTTCAGGCTTGCCAGTCTCACAATATTACCAGTCCTTAAAGTCTATCCCTTTCTTTATATTTCTATATCCACCCATCCATCCATTCATCAATCCATTCATCCATCCATCCATACATACATATTTCTGCATCTCTTTTTCTCATGTAGTCCTTCTCAAGAGAGCATTGAGTGACATACATTGCTTCTTGTCCAAAGTACTTGCAAAATAGTCATAAACTTTCAGTAATAGTTTGTGTTCGGGAATACAGGGATCTACCTGAATAGCTGAAGGTAGTAGTGATAAAATGGAGAACACTGCAAATCAGGCCCTGTCTTGAAAACCTGCCTGCCTCTCTTCTGATCTGGGTAAATTGTATCCCCTATTGCACTCACAGACTTCCCATCTGACAATGGAGGCAGTGACACTATCTCTTCTCTCAGGGTTCTAGAGACTAGTGGAGTGTTTTGCTTGGAATGGTGATTCCCCTCTCCTTCAATGGCTCAACTTACAATGAGCTTGAGACAGAAGGGGAAAGCATGAGCAATTCAAAAAAGAAGCATGCTGTTAGAGCAAGGGCAGATATCTGGCTTCTCAATGGAAATGGAGAACATTACCTCTCAGTTTCCAGCTAGCTCTCTGAACCCTTCTCCATCAAAAACATCTCAGGTATTTGTGACAATCAATTTGCCCGCTTTTCCAAATCCCCTTGGCTCTACTTCTGTGTATCATTTCCCCTCAGACCTTTCTCTTAATTCACCAGAGTAAGCAAATAGCCCCTACACCAAATGCTCCTACCTGGAAGAAGTAGTAAGCAGAGGAAGAAATGTAAGTGAATAGTGAGGCTTCCTATGCAAATCAAGTAAATGATGACTCTGTGCTCTCATGGGCCTCAGTACAAGTCCTAGGAACAGTGACTGGTAGTTAGATGGCTTTCCAGTATTTAGCATGTTGCTCTCATGTAAACACTTACACATTTCTCTCCCTGTCTGCCTTTTCCTTTCACACTCTGCCTTGGACTCAGGTGTTTCAGTAACTATGAAAACAGCTCAGGTAACAGCATGAGATTACGTGGGAGTGCCTCATAGAAACAAGTGTCAGCCTATTTCCTCATGACGGTCTTGATGGGGAAGACTAGGCTGCAGATCCTGGTGTTTAGCTGACATTTTGCTTAATTATACAAGCTGTTTGCTCTGTCCTTTCTGTATGTGTGAGATGGGGACAGCAATGACAGTGTTCAACTTTGACCTTCTTCTGGACAGCTAGCTCTTAGAATAAGACAGAAAGCAGCTACCCAGACCAGTGGGTGGGTATGAGGACTATGGCCACTTACAGTGGCATCTCCTAGGAATTGCACAGGCCCAAAACAAGAGCAGGGGTTAGATTGCATTTATAAAGAGAGTCTACAGCACCCAGCTGTCCCCTCATGCTTCTTCCTGACTGAATGCTGGAGGACAGATGGGAGGCAGGGATAGCCAGTGAGACAGTA